AACCCAACCCCACTCCCAAACAAAAACCCACTTTAAAGATTTGGGGCAGGGAGACGAAACCTTTGCTTTCCCATTCTCCACTTAATTGATGGGATCCGAACCACCACTGCAATGCCCATTTTAAAAAGCATCCAGAGGCAGTCAGCATCCCAGATGGGTTTGCAGATGGTTTTTGTGGCCCAGGGAGTTATTCTAGGGGTGCATATCCCTTACCTCATGTCTGCCTTGGAAAAAAAATCTTAAAATAATTAAAGGTTTTATTTAGTCATTCTAACATCAGGCAACACGCCCATGTTAATTTCTCCAACTCGGCATTTACCTTTCTCACTCATCTGTTTGGATGTATTCTTTTTAGCTCTACTCCCACCTTTGGTGTGTGTGCAGTTTCTTTTTGTAAAGACTTATCAGTGCAATAAACAATGTTCAAATATCTCAGTTCAATCTTGTAATTCTTATCCAAATATTTCCAGCATATTTTGTTCAATGATTTTCATTATCTTAAGCAAACTTTTCATGCTGGTACAACACACATATCAAAAGCATACAAAACATAGTGTGCTGTTTGAAGAATTTTCACAAAGCAAGCACAGCAGTGTGTCCAGCACCCAGATCAATCAGCAGAACATAACCAGCATCCAGGAGTCCTCTCCTGCTCCTTCCCAGTACCTGCTCAGAGGCAATAATTACTGTCATGACTTCTAACACTTGTTTTTTGAACTTCACATAAATGATATCAAAGAAGATTATCTTTTCCCTTTCTTTTTTGTGTCTGTTTTTTTTCACTCAACATCACAATCATGGAATTCATCCATGTTACTGCATGTACCAATCATTCAATAATTTTCACTGCTGTATGGTATTCTATTGTCTAAATTTACCACCACTTATTTATCCATGTTTCTGTGGACATTTGTGTTGTTTCCAGTTTTTTGCTTTCATGAATAGTGCTGCTATGCACATTCTTGTTGATTGTTTTGATGAACATATGCACACAATTCTGTAGCATACACCTGGAAGAAGGGTTGCTGGGATCATACATATATGTTCTGTTTCAGTAGATACTGCAGTAGACATCTAACATCTACAGCAGACTGGTTTCTAAGGCGATAGCACCAATTTGTACTTCTATCAGATGTGCGTTACCGTATTTCCCCATGTATAAGACGCTCCCATGTATAAGATGCACTTTAATTTTGGGGCCTGAAATTTGAAAAAAAATGTATTACATAAAGTTATTGA